AGATGCGACGAGGGTGCTATCTGACGTCTCTTGCCTCCGTGTTAATCTAGATGAGACACGTTCCAAAGAAATGAGAATAAATAAATTTATATAGGAAAACTAAAATATACAGCTGTGAAAATTCCATGGGGGTAAATAAAATTCATAGTGGGTGGAGTACTGGAGTGTAGTAGCCGAACAAACCGGCTGTGAAAATTATTTTAGTGCCAATTCAACGTATGATCCTACGGTAACAACCTTGGTGCCTATCACCGCCGGACCGTCCACCGAGCCCGAGGTGATAGCGATTTTCACTGCTAGCTCAAATCACCATGCATTGCACCTGTCGACCTCCTACCCGGTGGTGAAACTTCTCATCACCGTCGGTTAGTGAGTGCATAGGTAGCGATAAAGACCACCAAATTTTCACCGACGAATCATACGTCGATCCGACGGTGAGAATATTTATCACCATCGGCTTATCGCCGCAGTGTGCCTCCCTTGCCTTTGAATCGGCGATGAAAATTATTACCGCCAGTTCTTACAAAACCAAAACCTAATACGTAGTACTGTACATCTATTATTACTAGAAACCCGGTCCTTCCTAGAGGCGGGTGAGCACCTGATCCTCTGTAAAGGTATATTCCTTCGAGCAATGCCTATGTTCGACACAAGGTTATCATCGCACGCAGATGATTGATACGATCCCAGTTTTTATAATCTGGACAACGAACGAAACAGACAAGAAAACGTGTTTTTGATTGCAAAGCTGCAGACGGCCGCATCTGCGGGAAGTATACGCCAGCACACACATGTAATTTGCTCTTCTTTTTTTCGGATTCAAGCTGATTGCCCGTTAATAAAAAAAACGAGGTCAAATGGAACGGTCACTGCAAAATGACCAAATTCGGGTATGTTTGGCTGGTATTAAAGATGGCTGATAAATCAGCTGAACCTGTTTTGTTGTAAGAAAAAAATATTGTAGATTCTAGCCGATAAATCAGCTGATAAGTTGAAACGAACAGACCAATTGTTTGTTTTGGAGCTGAGAGCCGTTGCCTGGAAATACTGTACTAGACTATAGCACGCCGAAATGGCTGTCAGCAATGTTGTTCTCCGCACCACACTTGTACATCGCCGACAGGCGGGGCCAGCATCAATAATGTCGTGCTCCGCTTCCAGCCTCCCTGTCCCTCGGCTGAAATTCTTTTGCTTTGCATTGTAGTATGAAGCGATTTATTTATAAACAACGTAAGAAACCGTATGAATTGAATTGCCACTGCAAAAAGAAAAGAAAAATTTAACAGTAGCCGCAGTGCACAAGCTGCAGTTCGGTGATCAGAAAAGACGATGATGTCCCTTTGTTTACGCACGGCGCGCTGCTGTTTCCGGTCCACACAAGCTGCAGTTCGGTCCACACGGACATGTCCCTTCGTACTACTGCTGCTTCGCTGGCAGCGACGACTAGGACGGGTCAACGGCCGCTTTCACAACGGATAGCTACGTCGTGAAGTTGTCTCGAGTTGAGTGTCAAACTGAACGAAATCCCCCGCGCGATTGCAGGGAAGACGCATGAGATAAGGATGGGATTCCTTCAGGAAATTGTTTTTTCCGTCAAATTGGAGGGCAGACACGACACGGTGTTAGTTTTGAATTTTTGTTTCATGATACGTAGATCTACAATTAGTTCTAAAGAACCTAGATCTACAAGCAATTATTACAATAAGACTATTTTTTAAAAAAAATCCTAAACAAGCTGACGAGGTCTCACAACCAGCACTCTGCCAAAAAAAAAGCTACTCACTGTCCAAAAAATGAGAATGGGTGGGATTAAAGATTTTTCTATAATATAAAGGCTTCTGGCATACAAATTCACAACATTAAATCATTACTGTTGGATTGTCATTTATGACATCGATTAGCTGAAAAGGTACTCCCTCCTTTTTCAAAGTATATAAGTTATTTTAGTTTTGTCTAGAAATATATTTAAACATGATTGAGGTTATAGAAAAAAAAATGAACCAGCATATATTATATTGAATTAGTTTCATTAACTTCTTGGTGAAGCATGTCTTAATAGTGTATTTACTTGAACTAGTAGATGTAATATAGTTTTCTAAAAACTTATCAAAGGTAAATAAATTTGACTAGGGGCAAGGGTAAGTGCATTATAATTTGAAATTGATCAGAGAGTGGGGTTTAAGACTTAGGCCCTGTTCGCTTTGCTGAAAAGCCATGGCTGAAAGTATTGTTCGTTGATTTGTCGTGAGAGAAAAACACTGTTTGTTCGCGACACTAGTACGGCTCATAAGACAAGTGAACAGGGCCTTATAGTGCACAAGCTTCAATCTTTTGTCCTCTCTGTATTCACGGATTATAGCTCGTGGACTATTGGATTATGAAAGGCTGATTGTAAAAAAAATGTCCTGCTTGGATTAGCTAGAACTTTTAACACAGCACAATCTGGTATAAGCTAACAAGAGACACATTGTGGGTTGTAAAAGCTATATTTTAAAGGTACGTTGTTTGGACCCTAAGCCTAAATTGTGAAAGCTATATATTGCACAATCTAGTGGGATCCAAACAAGCCCCTAATTGCACCATTGTGATAAAAAGAGTTTGATTGGGCCTCGGGAGGTATATGCACTATAGGGCACTGTCTGACACTGTAGATTACTGTAGCACAAGGACGGTCCGAATGCTTCAAAAATGAATTGTGAAACGGTGAAGTTGTACCTCTATCACAGTACTGCTACAGTGAAGGCCGGAGGCCGTCGAAGCCCCTCTAAATGAGCCCTTAGTTCTTTCAAACCTCTAGTGCCTAAGCTAGTCCGTGCACCAGTTGCAAACATCATAGTAGATTGGCATGCATGACAAACCTTGATGTTCTCATCATTGTTTTGTGGTAATCTCAACTGTCTTAACCCGGAGCTTTTGACGAAAACGCAGCCTATGTCTACGCCTTTCATGGTTTAATCTTCTAAAAAAATGGTTCTACTATATTCTTGGCGCTGAGTTTGCTTTCCGGACCCCATGAGACCCCTTTTGACTCTTCTTTTTGTAGCTAGGATGCTATGAGCCTATATGACCCATGCATGTTCTTGGGTATTGATGTAAGCTTAAACAATTTATGGTATTAGCACAAATTGATTTAACCAAAATATAACAACTTTAGATACGTGCATAGCACAAATAAACCGTTCATGTGCTAAACAACACAAACCCACCTTGCGCCATGTTTGTTCCTTGCATTTTGGAAATGTTTCTCTCCCCTCTTCCTTCTTACCTTACTTGTTCTCTTGATGATAAAAGGACTATTACACTTTCATGTGTGTTATCCGTAGTCTTTTCTCTAATGGGAATCCACTCTTCACTTGTAAGCTTCTTCTATTTATACACCCATACCAGGTGCTTCAAAGGTCACAAGCCAGAAGATGACAAACGCATACACCATGCATGGCGTTAATGAGGACCCTAATGCATGGCTATTATTAGTGTGTCCTAATGAATAATACTCCTGTAATGCAATGACATTAGCACACGGTACTACATGCATACTGTCTTCAAGCTTCTACCCACTATAACTTAATTAGTTACCAATGTGCATGAACATTAGTACATGGTGGCTAATTAATACTAATAGGCACTATCACAAAGCAACGCATGAGTCTTTCACACACATATTCATGCATGCATGTAACACACATTTATTTAGTATATGCGGTAGCAATTGGCCTTTAGGTCTTAATGCAAACACTAATTCTATTTGAAGAGAGAGGAGAGGATATTTCAACCCATAATTCTTATTAGTCTAACAACCATCACACTAAGACATTTAATAATAATAAAAATAATTTCCTTAATTTATATATGGACCACTTTTCAGTTAAAATAATCTAACAATTGATTCCCAAATTTATAAACTCTTGTTGTGGTTTGGATGCAAGAAGCGTTTTATATTCTCAGGTGATATTCTCCATAATCCTTGCAAAACGTACTAAAATGTGAAATATTTCTCCTTGAATCACCTAAACACTACGAGAACGAATCACCCAAAAAGGATATTTTTCATCTGTTTAGATTAACTTGCTTCTCATTTTCCTTGAAAGAAGTGATAGAGAATCACCAAAGAAACATTTTCAAGGAGAATTCGGATCTAAAATGTTTTGAGGAGTTTTGAGGAGAATATGGACTCTACCAAAGGAGCCCCTGCTGTAACTGATAATATATGTTTGAGTCTTTATATAAATATATGGTAGTTGAAGTCGAGGAATTCATGTTGCAACAGTATCCACAACTTTTCTAGGGCCAGTATCCGTTGAATTTGATAGGGGTGGGCGGTTGGTGGAGACTCGAAGTCGTCGATGTGTGCTGCTAGCCTGCTAATGTATTAACAAAGCGCTAACTGCGTTCGCACCTCACACTCATCATGTCCTTGTCAGCAACCAAGTTTCTCCGTAAAGGCTGCAAGAGGTGGACTTGAGGCTCCGGTTATGGCGAGGGGAACCCGACGGGGCGGAAAACGGCAAAAAGATAAGTAATCAGTTCATGACGTCACGCAGAGAGTGAACTCAAGCTCTTGGACGATGATTCCCCTCCCCTGTTTCCCTTGTAATTCGGACAAGAGGAATCGACGTAAATAAAATGTCGTAAAGCAAGCCTTTTTGTTTGTCAAACTGAATTGTGATCGGCGCGAGCAACTTGAACAAGCGCGTGCCTGTGCGCTCACGCCTGCCCAGCCATCCCAGTCGTCGCCGGCCGCAGGCCGCGTGACACTAGTCCAAACTACACGGCGGACGCGCCGCAACCCAAAAGCAGAGTAAAATATTCCGCCTAGGATCCGTGGACCGAGCAGCAGTGAGCTCTGAGCAGAGCTACATATACCGGTGCCCGGCCGCGCCATTTGTGCACACAAGCTTCAAGCTCCTGGCAGCCGCGCATCTCCCAATCCCAAATCCCAGCCTGCCCCGCCCCCGAACACACTCTCTTTGTCGTCGCAGGGCAGCTAGTATCCATCCGCCATGGCGCGCGGGGGAGACGGTCTGCAGGTGCTCAGCGCGCTGGACGCGGCCAAGACGCAGTGGTACCACTTCACGGCCATCATCGTGGCCGGCATGGGCTTCTTCACGGACGCCTACGACCTCTTCTGCATCTCCCTCGTCACCAAGCTGCTGGGCCGCATCTACTACACGGACACCAGCAAGGACAACCCGGGCTCGCTCCCGCCCAACGTCGCCGCGGCGGTCAACGGCGTCGCCTTCTGCGGCACGCTGGCCGGCCAGCTCTTCTTCGGGTGGCTGGGCGACAAGCTCGGGCGGAAGAGCGTGTACGGGATGACGCTCATGCTCATGGTCATCTGCTCCATCGCGTCGGGCCTCTCGTTCGGCCACACCCCCACGGGGGTCATGGCCACGCTCTGCTTCTTCCGCTTCTGGCTCGGCTTCGGCATCGGCGGCGACTACCCGCTGTCGGCCACCATCATGTCCGAGTACGCCAACAAGAAGACCCGCGGCGCCTTCATCGCGGCCGTCTTCGCCATGCAGGGCTTCGGCATCCTCGCCGGAGGCATTGTCACGCTCATCATCTCCGCCGCCTTCCGCGCGGGGTACCCGGCCCCCGCGTACAAGGACGACCACTTCAACTCCACCGTGCCGCAGGCCGACTTCGTGTGGCGCATCATCCTCATGCTGGGCGCCGCGCCGGCGGTGCTCACCTACTACTGGCGGATGAAGATGCCCGAGACGGCGCGCTACACGGCGCTGGTGGCCAAGAACGCCAAGCAGGCCGCGGCCGACATGTCCAAGGTGCTCCAGACGGAGATCGTGGACGAGCAGGAGAAGCTGGACGAGATGGTCACCGCCGAGAGCAACACCTTCGGCCTCTTCTCCAGGCAGTTCGCGCGCCGCCACGGGCTCCACCTCGTCGGCACCGCCACCACCTGGTTCCTCCTCGACATCGCCTTCTACAGCCAGAACCTGTTCCAGAAGGACATCTTCACAGCCATCAACTGGATCCCCAAGGCCAACACCATGAGCGCGCTCGAGGAGGTGTTCCGCATCTCCCGCGCACAGACGCTCATCGCGCTCTGCGGCACCGTGCCGGGCTACTGGTTCACCGTCGCGCTCATCGACGTCGTCGGACGCTTCGCCATCCAGCTGCTGGGATTCTTCATGATGACCGTCTTCATGCTCGGCCTCGCCATCCCCTACCACCACTGGACCACGAAAGGGAACCACATCGGATTCGTCGTCATGTACGCCTTCACCTTCTTCTTCGCGAACTTCGGGCCCAACAGCACCACCTTCATCGTGCCCGCCGAGATCTTCCCGGCGCGGCTGCGGTCCACCTGCCACGGCATCTCCGCGGCCTCGGGGAAGGCCGGCGCCATCATCGGCGCCTTCGGGTTCCTGTACGCGGCGCAGAACCAGGACAAGAACAAGACGGACGCCGGGTACCCCGCGGGCATCGGCGTTCGCAACTCGCTCTTCGTCCTCGCTGCCAGCAACATGCTCGGCTTCGTCCTCACCTTCCTCGTGCCGGAGTCTAAGGGCAAGTCGCTCGAGGAGATGTCCGGTGAGGCTGACGACGCCGAGGAGGAGGCCGTCGGCACCCGCGCGGTGCGGCCGTCGGAGACCCAGATGGTGTAGAATCGTCGAACGTGACGACGCGTGCACACGGGTTCTGGTTGACTGCTTCTTCTTCTTCCTGCGCTGCACATGGGCAGACGTGTGTAGGCGCGCCGGCCGGTTAAGTCAAGCCTGCTGCCTCTGTTTCGCTGTGCAGGAGTAGTTCGTACGTGGTGCAGGTGCATGTGTGTTATTATTATACAGCCGGTTGGTCGGATCATATTTGGCTTATAAGTCATGCTTATTAGTTAACGAATAATATTTTTTTTTCGCACCAAACTAACGAACAATACTTTTAACCATGGCTTATAAGCCAAACTAGCCCAAACGAAAAGGGCGATACTTATAATGGCTCATTCACTTTTCTTATAATTTATATTTTTCAGCTTGTTTTTCCGATCAAAACAGTGTTTTTCTCTCGCAGTAAATCAACCTGGAACTTTGTTTAGTTGGGAAAGAAAGTGAACTTACACTCGTATATCCAACCTTAATCGGTTAGGTACGTATTATAGCAACTCCAGCAACAGCGTGCTTTTCTCCGTTATTAGGCTTAACTCCAGCTAAGACGGTCAAATCAGGGCATTACTACATCAATTCAAACTATACTATTAGTAGTTCACACAAATAATCCAAATTCAAACTCACTAATTTAAATACAACAATTCAAATTTTAATTTAGTTTTGCATCATCTAGTCCACAAACAACACATACTCTCTCAATCTCAAAATATCTTTCTTTTTCGTTTTCAAGAAACAACTTTAACAAAAATATATATTAAAAAATATTAATATTTATGGTACATAATTGATATCGTTGGCAAAATCTTTGAATCTAGTTTTTTAATAAATTTATTTAGAAATATAAATATTGCATGTATTTTATATAAATCAAGTCAAATTTATAGCACGAAAAAAACAAACGACGGATAATTTACGACAGAGGAGTAGTCCACAGATATGGAACATATCGATGCAATTTGTGTCGCCAACAGCTGTAGCCATACCTCACAGGGGAGACGCCTACATTTGCCTGCTACATGTGCTCTGGATTGGCCGACACGGTATACAGTATTTGCTTTCTACATGTGGTCCAGATTGGCCGGCCCACAAGGCCACAAATAATTGGGCTAAAAGAGTTCAAGCTTGACAATACCATGATAGAAAATGTTGGTTTTTAATTGGGCTTAGTCTAATTTTATATTCAATTAAAATCAAACAATATTTAATGCTAAAATTAAATGTTCGGTGAAATAAGGTCCCATATAAGATTTTATTGTAGTGTTAGGAATCGAATGCTAGAAAATTATTCTAATTTAATAGGTGATGCTAGCTAATTGATTGATGAGAGATCCAAGAAAGATTATGGAGATTAATCTCCCTGACGTTGACACGAGCAGAAGATATGGAGTTATGGACGAGCCAAAAATCAAACAACATTGGTCTATCACTCTATTACCGTGTGCAAAGATTGAATATGGACATATGGTAGAAAGCCACAAAATCTGTTGTTTAGGAAAGCCGTCTAGGAATGCAATTCTTCTTTAATCGTTTTGGCCATTATTTGGATCAGTCTAAAACAAAATTGATTGAGCTGAGCTAGAAGGGGAGTGGTGTCAAAGAGGGGAATATATTAAAAAGAAGTCCCTAATCAAACCTACTAGTATTACCCATTTACCATTGGTGTCCCATTTTCATCCTTACTTGCTAGTGTTAACCCTTTTTATAATAGTGGGAAGAGGGTTTTAATAGAAATCTCGCAACAGCTTAGTCACTTGTACAGTGGTTTGTTGTTTCACTCTACAAACAATACCATGCCAGACCAAATATACAATTAGCACTACCATACATGTCACAAAAGCTCACAAATAGCAATGATAAGATGAAAAAACTCATATGTTTGTTAGGAACAATTCAAACTTTTATTACAAGTTATTAAATAAAAGTAATGATAATATCTAAAAGTTGTCCAAAAATTCTTTAAATTGGCATGGGGTCATATTATGGGTGCATAAGCTTGAATTAAAAAATATTAGAAGATTTTATGAAAGCTAGCAATGGATGCATCTTTCACAAAGTTTCATATAACCTAAAGCAAACTTTGAAGTTTGTACTTCCTTCGTTCCAAATTATAAGTCACTTTGACTTTTTTTAGTACATCCATTTTTTTATGCATCTAGATATAATAATATGTCTACATACATAGCAAAAATTGATGAGCTAAAAAAGTGTTAAAGCGACTTATAATTTGGAATAGAGGGAGTACATCTCAAAACCTTTTCTATCTCACACACACTTCAAATTTTTAGACAATCTAACTTTAAATTGCTTTTTATAATTTTCAAATAATGAATCAAGCAACACTTCTGAAGGAACATGCAATTTTTTTATCTTATATAAGCAAATACATTTTTTAATGTAATAGACCACATATACATTGTTGTGAAGCATTTTCAATATTTTTAACTAATTTACTATCTTCTATAATTTAAATGATTCTATATGTGCTTAAGAAATTGTAATATTTTGGGTGCTAACCGCCAAGGAAATGGCATAACAACCCTCAAGAAAATTATTAATTTCCTTGTCGGTTTAGAATAACACTCAAGGTCCCCTAAAAAAAGAATAACACTCAAGGAAATTCAAATTTTCCTTGCAGTTATTAATAGCAGTCAAGAAAATGGTAATTGTCGGATACCACAAAAGGGGTACCCTAAGCAAGATCCAAGAATATTGCTTAAGCCTTGCTAAAACCAAAGCCAAAAGACTACTGCAAGGTCTCGGCAGAATTCTCCGATTCGCCCGAGGCCTTGCGCCGAGGCCTCATGCGAAACAGGCCTAAAACGTCCTGCCGAGACCCTCTCGCCAAGGCCTCGCCCTAAAAGGCCTCGGACGGATCTCCAATTCTCTGATTCGCTCGAGGCCGGGCTCGGCGAACGTACTCGTAACCTCCGTCCCGACCGACTCCTCCTCCGCAAAACGTCACGTCCGGATTAAATGCACCCAACCACTCCCATAAACGTCGGCCTTGCCGCAGGTAGTACAGTCAGGCGGAACAACCGACAGGGATGGGACCGGGCACAGCGGGGTTACCGCCACTATACTCTCCCACTCGTGCTCCCTCCCCGACACTTATACTACCTGTGGCTGCCTAACCCCTGCGCCAAGGACAAAGCGGCATGGAAGGTCGAGTCCATGTCCCTCAGCCCTCGAAACAAAGCGGAGAGCCCAAATGCGGGTCTCGCCTCATCCGAGACCCCCAAGCAAGGCCTCGGGCGCGCCATTCCTTCTCCGCTTCGGGCGAGGCCGGCCGGGCTTGTCCCGCATTCTCGTCGCCTCCGCCTCAATTGCCCCTCCGCGGGCCATCCCATCCGTGTAAGTACCCCTAGTTACGCCTCGTCAACCACGATTGGCGGGTATATGGCAAAGGGCGATGGGACGGCGGTCAAATCACCTTTTTACCATCCCCTACTGACGGTGCAGAGACTACAGCTCCCTGCGGATGCCCATTCCACACTTTTTCACCGGAATCGGGTACGACACAGACCACCGAGACCCCCGCGTCATACACAGGTCACCTCCGAGGCCTCGGCAAAGAAGGCCTCGGCATGATCAGCTCCAGCACCCGCTAGGCCTTAGCACTCCACCAGGACAAGAGTCCACCAGGCACGGCATGTCACCTACAGTGGAGGCCATACTGACTAGACGTCAACAAGGACTCTTACGACTTCAACAGCCTCGGGCATGGCCTGACGTGACGCACCGGTGATCAAGTACCAATTGCCATTCCCGACACTGTGCTGCTATAGGAATAGGCCACAGTACTGGATCTTCCTTTCTCGCTAAGGCTCCACGTGTAGCTCTCTCATGTACTTCTGGCTTCCTCCTTGTGGCTATAAAAGGAAGCAGCCAGGGCCGTTTCTAGGGATCGAAACCACGCCAGCCCTCACGCAAAAACGCACTCACTCAATTCACGCGCGCTCCCACGCTGCCTGAGAGCAACGACTCAAGCAGCCCGCACCATTCCACGCCGAGACTTGGGACTAGCTCTCTCTCTCACCTAGCTTGTAACCCCCTACTACAAGCACTTCGGTGCAGAGAATACAAGATCGATCTCCTAGACTGGACGTAGGGCGCCGATTGCCTGAACCAGTATAAACCTTGTGTCTCTTTGCATCGCCATCCGGGATTAGGGGCACGCAATTCACATTTACTGGTTGGTTGAGGACCCCTCGGTCTGAAACGCTGACAGTTAGCGCACCAGGTAGGGGCCTCTGCGTGTTAGCGTGATCGTCCCAACAAGTTCCGAATGGCTGACCCCATATGCCCACTACGTGTCGGCATGGTGGTCTAGTTTGGGAGCCTAGAGTTCATGTCTCTAGGATGTGAGTACGATATGATACTCCTAACACCCGAGCCCCACCGGCCGGCGACGACGACGCGCTTAGCGGCGGCAAAGACGGGCGCGGCGCGCGCCGGGCGCCCGCTCTCGTCACGCTTCGCCGAGCACGACGCGAAGCGGGACTACTCGACGCCACGCGAACTCGAGGCTGCGCACCGCACTCTGCCCGACATCCCATGCCCGGTTGTTGGTACAGAGTCCTGGTGAGGGACCCGTCTAGCCTAAGCATGGGTAGGGGAAGGACGCCAGATGGCCAATGACGGCGTCCGTCGTCAAGCTCGCCCCGCGCCGCTTCGGGGAATCGACTCGCGGCGGAGGGAGCCAGCGGTGGCACCATCCCGTACCTCTTGAGCTGAAAAACATCGCCGCCGCCTACGCTTTCGCTTACGCCTCCGCGCACGCGGAGCTCTCGGGACACCACCAACGATTCGCCCTCGACTTCTCCACCACAATCTCGACCCACACCCACACTCCTTGGAGGAGGACGAGGCATGGGTTGGGCGGACTTCTCCGAGCTTCGTGACCCGAGGGCTATCGCGCCGCTTCTTGGTCATAGCGACTCACCGCTTCGCCACCACTCCGACTCCGATGACGAAAGCACTTACGATCCCACTCGAGAGTG